CCGTGAAGCGGACTCGCTTCGAGACGGATTCAACGAAGTTTATTCGAGGCCCTAATTGGATCGATGTTATCGACAGCGGGCTTCAAACGATCGACTTCTTGCGCGCCAGTAAATCGGCAAACAGATGACGCTGCCGTCGTCTTCGATGCAGGCTAAAACTATGGCAGGCATCGCCATATCGGAAAATCATGTAAGAAAATTGTTACAAGTATACGTTATCACTTTCTAAAATGGCAACAATGACAGGATAGAATCGAATCGCAAACGATGAAACTGCAACTCACCCCCATCGATGTAATCGATGGCAGAATTTACTGATCGGCAAGAAGAAAGATTCGATCGTGGATGGCACGTAACCTAATCAATATTTTACACAACTTTTTTTTTTTTATTTAAGCGTTGGAAACCTCATTTGAGGCTTATTACAACCAACTAGAATTACCAGAGGAAATAAGAATACATTAAGGTTACAGTATAGACGCAATAACAGGCCGGGATATCTGGTTTAGCGATTATCATGTCGACTTTTAGGGGTAAGAATAATTTGTGTTTGCTGAGGTTCTTGATAAGATTAATCCTTTGGGAGTCACAAAGATTGCATTGCCACAGTATATAAGTTCACAAACAATACCCAGACGAAACAAGAAAGCTGCCAGATTATAACGATTAGCTCTGATTTAGCGATTTACTGATTTAAAGATTTTTGGTCTGTTAAAAAATTTGTAGGCTCTTGTTTTGAAGAGTGAGAACAAAATGAACTCGAGGTAGAAGCAAACTAGTATGGGAGGGGACTCCAATAAAACTTGATGGAGCAATTACACAACTTTTCAATCCACGTAGCTAGCTAGTGCTCCCGGTCTCTTTGCTCCATCTCTGACCATAAATTTGATCGATGTCACGCCGATTGAAAGAGCAACCCGTGGATCACTACGCTCGAGATTGTTCGTTATCAGGAATCAAAACGAGGATGCTGCGAGCCTACTTTCTCTCCGGTTTCCCCTTCGATCTGTAACGAGCCACGGGGCAATAATCGTCAGGCGATCAAGCCGCCGATTGAAGAATGCTGCGGCCTGAGAAAGTACAAGTACGCGAAGTCGCAGGTAGAGACGGACTTTTGCAACACCCAGAGGCTGCTCGAGAGGATCCGATACCTGAAGAGGAACATTCAGGACCTAGAGTACGCTCAGCAGAGGATTAGACCAGTAAATCGATTGACTTTCAAACCGATCGAAAATTAAAATGCGCTTCTCCTCTCACTCGGCGGCAGTATTATTTAGAATACGACGTGTGTTTAATACAGCAAATAATAGCCGAGAAGAAAGACACGATTTGTCAGACGCAGGATTCATCGCGGTCGGACGTGAACAGCTTCCGAGAGATCTTGGACAATTGCATCAAGGAAATGACGAGGCTGAGGGGATTCTTCGACGACGAGAACGCCTGGTGGAAGATATTCAAGAACCGGGAGTTCAACTGTTGCGAGCAGAAACTGCCGCATCTGCATGGCTACTTGGATGGAACTATGGTCACTCTGAAGATACTGGAGGAGAGAAACGAGGTACGAAATTTTAGAGGGACAAACGACTTCTAGCGATTTACTTCTAAACGTGTTTAGTTTGGAGAGGCTGTTGCTACTTCGACACCGATAAAGTCACCTCCGAGTCCCAACGCGTCCAGTCACAAACGAAACTACAAAGAGCAACATGAGGAGAGGGTTGAAAACCATTCTGAAACGCACGCAGATTCGTCCACGAACACTGAAACGTAAGACAACAGTCGCAACATTGTTTTGAACGCTTTCAGAAATTAATCAAGATTAATCGCTTTTTTTTTTTTTATTCTCTCAGAGTCAGCAATTCTTGTCAAAATCGATGTCCTGCGTCTTGTCAAATTCACGAAGGCAATCTTGACTCCTCGAGAGCAGAGACACAGGATGAAACAGTCGACCAAACGCAGCGCAATTCAGAGCAACCGCGAACAATTTCGTACGACGAAACGTTTGATAGAGACAACACGAACGACACACGTAAATTTCGATAAAGATATACGAATTTGTGGAATTTCCGACTCACCTGAGATATTATATCCGTAGATGATTGGTTCTCTAAGAACAACGTTGGATACGCGGAGGGGCCGTCAATTACATTTCACAGCGAGAATACGGCGCGGAGAACAACCATTGCTGCCGATATCAGCACGTCGATCGATTTAATACCGGTATTATTACATACAATAGCGTGCGTACGAATAGAGAGATAATTAAGCTCATAAATACAGCTAATTGTATCGCGCGAAATTTTATTTTTATTATTCCTTTTTTTTTTTTTTTATAATTCAAAGCTATGCTTTTGGTATTATTTATCGCGTCAGGAATTGTTATGTGAAACAGCTTTCCAAATTCTTATTTCAAGCAACAATTAAAAAATTGAATTCATTTGATCTTTTTCAAAAATTCCTACTTTATAGTTCATAGTTCTTTTTGTGTAAATTCAAAAATTTGAAACTTTGATCGTTTTGGAAGAAAGGAATATGTTAGAAATGTAGAATAATAGCCATTTCCATTCTTTTTTTTGTTCGAACGAGACTCTCTATACCAGGCACGGGATAATTATCAAAGACTGATTTTCGAAAATTTGAAAAAAAACTACTCTAGTACGCGCAGTACAGAAACATCAGGTCGCCGATTAAGAGTCCAAGGAACGTAGAAGAAAGGAACTTTTCAATCAGAGAATCAAAGGTTAAGAAACAGATTCATCAGGCGAATCACTCAAGTCAAAGACACGCGTAAAAAGTCGACGCTCGGATGTTTGAATGGCGTCGCCCGATCGTAAATCGGACGATTGATCGTTTCAGTTCGATCGGGCAAATTTTAGTCTACCGTTTCTTCGAAGGAGCTGTCTCCTTGTTCGCAACATGCTGCCGTCCCTAACCGCACGTATCATTGGATAATTTGTTTCGCAAATTCTGCAAGAGCCTCCGAGGTTTACGAAAAGTATGGAGAGGAATACGAAAGAGGTTAATGAGACACGAGGTTAGAGTATCGATGTTTTTAACAAAATTTGACAAACTCGTCTAATAACGATAATGTGAAGTAACATTCTCGATGATATTTTTCCGTGAATTTGAAAAAAATTTTCTCTCTTCAGAGAGAGAGAGAGAG